CACTAAATGTTTCCTCCCCGCTCCCACTACCATGACTCTCCTCTATTAACAATGCTCTGTTAACTGTTTTCCTAACCAATTATTTGGTCATATCCGAATTTATGTTAACTTGGGTATATTTTCAATTGATTAATTCTAAAAGAAAACTGGTATATCAAATTGATAATATTGATAAATATCATTTATTGAGCAAGGTATATAACTCTATTATTATTAATACTTGCACTAACCCATGAGGTTGGTATTAAGATTTCCACATTGCAGAGAAGAAAACTGAAGTTAAGCAACATTTCTATTGTCACACTTCCAATAAGCTGTTTTTTTGTTGGTTTGTGTTTTTCCTTTCCTGGTTGTCTACATAATCTATGTTTTTATCCAGGCTATTATGTGTATTAGATATCAAGGCAAAATTTTTTATTCTTGCAGATATTTACCACACAAGCTATAACAAATAAAATTGTAATTATAATTATGTACACCACACACACACACACACAAGCACACATCAACAACCACAACCACTGTCATGTTTGGGGCTGATGTAGATGTTTTATACTCATTTAATTTTATTTCTGTCCTTATAGCCTTGGTGGAGGACCAGATGATGCAAAAGAAATTATGAGACACAGTTTCTTTTCTGGAGTAAATTGGCAAGATGTATATGATAAAAAGGTAGGATATATTTATGGTGTGATTATTATATTTTGGCTTTTTTGCTAAACTGAATTTATAGCAAAAGCATTTTAATTGAATAAAATTTGAGGAAGTAATGACCTTTTCATTTTATGTTGATATTTAAGTGATTCTTGAACTTAAAAAAAAGGCTGTGTTAATTTTGACTCACAGATGCAGTGTGACATTTTATTAAGAATATTCAAAAATTTGGTTTATATTAATGATTTTTAAAAAAATCAATTTATTGGGGCTCATACAATTCATCACAATACATAGATCACATCTATACATTTGTTGCCCTCGTTATTCCCAAAATTTGCTTTCCTATTGGGTTCCCGGAATCAGCTCATTTTCCTTTACCCCCCTCCCTTTCTCCTCCCCCGTCCCCCATGCACCCTTGATAATTTATAAATTATTATTATGTCTTATACTACACTGCCCGGCGTCTCCCTTCACCTACCCCTCTGCTGTCCGTCCCCCAGAGAGGAGGTTATATGTAGCTCCCTGATCAATTCCCCCTTTCTACACTCCCCTTCCCTAATGATTTTCTTAATAATTTATTAGCTTGCCACTCTTGTTTCTTTAATTACAAAAGGTAAAACCATCTTATGTTGTAGCAAAATATAAAAATAACAGTTTTTTGCTTATATCTTTTTTATTTTAAAGTGAAAACTTCAGATTTATTTATACAAGTCCTTATAATAAAAGAAACTTAGAGTTAATTTTAATCTCCAGCAATGTATTAAATTCAGTTGTCTTAATTGGAAATTCTCTGATATTTCAAACAAAACTTTATGGACTACAATATGGAGGCTGCTAATTTTATGACTTTATTTTGTATTATAATGTGCTTCTTACTTTTGTGTTTAATATACTGAAATTTTTGCTTAAGTCTAAGAACAGGATGTCATCTTTTCTATCCCATCCTTTTTTAGAACAAATCATACTAGTCATGACTAATTTTAACACAAAAGTTAGATAATCCCAGAGTTGACATGGAGTCACACCCTTTTCATATTTAAAAACTCTTGTGGTTTTTGCTTTTTATTTTTTATTCTGTGTTAGAGAATATTATCTATAGTTTTATATTGAGATATTGGTTGATTATTCACTTATTACCTCAAGTATTGCTAAGTATATTGATTTTTTATTACTTAAAAAAATCATTTTATTTGGAGCTCGTACAACTATCACAATCCATATATTCCTCCAATGTGTCAAGCACATTTGCACATATGCTGCCATCATCATTTTCAAAGCATTCTCTTCCCACTGGAGCCCCTGATATCAGCTCCCCATTTCTTCCCCCTCCACCCCCAGCTTGCCCTCCCTCATGAACCCTTGATAAGCTATAGATTATTTTTTCATATCTTACATCATCCTCCCTTGCCCCTCATCCACTTTTCCATTAATCGTCCCCCTGGGAGGGGGTTATAGACTGATCCTTGTGATCGATTCCCCCTTCTACCCTCCCCCTCCCCTAATCCTCCTGCTATCTCTACTCTCATTGTTGGCACTGAGGGGTTTATCTATCCTGCATTCCCTGTGTTGCGGGCTTTTATCTGTAGCAGTGTGCATGTTTTCTTCTAATCCGATTTGTAAGGTAGAATTGAAGTCATGATAGTAGGGGGAAGGAAGCACCAAAGAACTAGAGCTCTATTGCACCCTGACTGGCTCATCTCTTCCCTTGACCCATCTGTGAGGGCATGTACAATTGTCTACACATGGGCATTGGGTCTCCACTCTTTGACACACACACACACACACACACACACACACACACACCCCATTCACCTTGGGTATGATTTTATTCTAGGTCTTAGATGCCTAACCTGATACCATTGACACCTCATGATCACACAGACTGGTGTGCTTCTTCCATGTGGGCTTTGTTGCTTCTCAGATAGATGGCCGTTTGTTTATCTTCAAGCCTTTAAGACCCCAGATGCTATATCTTTTGATAGACAGGCACCATCAGCTTTATTCACCACATTTGCTTGTGCACCGTTTTGTCTTCAGTGATTGTGTCAGGAAGGTGAGCATCACAGAATGCCGGATTGTTAGAACAAAGTGTTCTTGTGTTGAGGGAGTACTTGAGTCAAGGCCCAATGTCCATCTGCAACCTAATTCTTAACATACAGCTATGAGTACATAATTCTATTCCCCTTTCGTTACATGTATATTTACATATGTACATGCCTGTATTTAGACCTCTATAAATGTCCTTTGCCTCCTGGTTCTTTCCTCTATTTCCTTTTACTTTCCTCTTGTCCCACCATCATGTTCAACCTTCATTTAGGTTTAGTAATTCCTCATTACTACATTGCCCTTGATTAAGCCCCACTAGGCATCCTATGCCCTTCTCTCCATTGATTTTAGTTCACTTGTTGTTCCCTTGTCCCTGGTTGGTTTCTAACCCCTGCCCCCAACTTCTTTTCTCCCATCTCCCCTAAACCATTGGTCCCATTCTTTTCATCTCCAAATTATTTATCCCGCCTATTTTATCTAGGTAGATATGCAGATACATAAATAAGCACAAAAACCAGGCAAAACCAAATAAAACAACAGAGGATGTCAAGACCAACAAAATAATCACAACAGAGAAAAAAGCCAAAAACATCAACAACAAAAAGAAAGCCACTGACAAAAATGGAAAAGCCTATAAATACTTCAAGGTCTATTTGTTGGCCTTTATGAGTGTTTTCCAGTTGAATTTGATGGGGTGCCACACTCTCTATTTTTAGTATTCCCCAGGGATTTCATCACTCTCCTCCACTTGCTGCTCTGTTGGATGCCCTTAATGTTTTGCCCCACCGTGATGGGGTGAGATTGTGCACAATTCCCACACTGTGTCTCCAGTGCTGTGCCCCGCAGCGCTATGGTTTAGTGAGGGACATTGTGTCTCGTGGTGGGGCTGGCCTTATGGTCCTCTCTGTGCGTTGTCTGCTCCGAGCAGGACTATCATCCTTGGGGCTTGGTGGGCCAGGATGTCCTCCCCTCTTTCTTCATCCCTTTTCATTTTTCCCGTGTGCTCTAATCAAACATGCTCCTCTCCCCAAGCTATAACCCCAGTGCTGTCCTCTGAAGTGCATTCTTCTGAGGGGGGAGGCGTGTACATAGTTGGGATTGGGGCCAGCCCCGCAGACCTCTCTATTGGTTCCCTGGTACATGCTGGTATGTTATATTCACGTCTTGGTGCATTGGGTGGAAGCCTGGTCTCTCTCTCCTTCTACTGTGGAGATATAAACAATACCCTCCCCTTGGGTGGGTTAGTGTCCTGCTCCCCACCACCCATGTCTCCTCCCCCTTTTTTTTTTCTCTTTCTTTTCCCTTCTTATTTAGTTGGCTGCCATATGTATCCCTGGATTGGGTTTGGCCCCTGCCATAGTTGCTGGACCTCACCCCAGGGATGTATATATATATGTGTGTGTGTGTGTGTGTGTGTGTGTGTGTGTGTGTATAGTAGCTTTTCCCCTATGCCCTGTTATGATGTATATATATGTGTGTGTGTGTATGTATGTATGTATATATATATGTGTGTGTATATATATATATATAGTAGCTTTTCCCCTATGCCCTGTTATGTTTTGTTATTAAGCTTACCTCACTGGACTCATGTTGTACTTGTCCTTTTGTGCTTGGCTTATTTCACTTGGCATGATTTCCTGTAGTTCTTCCCATGCAATGATGTGCTTCATGCGTTCATCACTGCTTTTTAGGGATGCATAGTACTCCATTGTATGTATGTACCACGGTTTTTTGATCCATTCAGCTGTTGATGGATTTGGGTTGTTTCCAACTCCTTGCAATTGTGAGCTGTGCCAGGATGATAATTGGAGCATAGATGTCTGGCCGTGGTTTGTTTCTTGCCTCTTCTGGATATTTGCCCAGTAGGGGGATTGTTGGGTCGTATGGTAGCTCAATTTCCATCTGTTTTAGATATCGCCAAATCAATTTCCATAAGTATATTGATTGTGATATTTAGATTTTCAAGTGCTTATATAAAAAATATTTTATAGTGACATTTTCAGGTAATTCAGTAATTTGTTTAAAATTTTCATCTAGTTAATCAGTTTATTCACTTTATTATTTCTCTGAAACATTTATCAGTCAGCACATTTATACAATGTTTCTTTTGCGTATTCTCGTATAGTGATCCCTAAAGTAAAGATAGAATAAAAATATGCATTTTAAAGAAGTAAAATAAATACATTGTTTTTCTATTGTTCATTATGGGTAATAGTGTGTTAATAATCTTTTTTTTTAAATCATTTTATTGTGGGCTCATATACCTCTTACCACAATCCATACATACATTAATTGTGTAAAGCACATTTGTACATTCATTGCCCTCATCATTCTCAAAACATTTGCTCTCCACTTATGCCCCTGGCATCAGCTCATTTTTAATAGTATGTTAATATTCTATCCACTTCTTATGACATGGAATTTAAAATAGCTGCACCATATATTCAGTATGCTTAAATACTCAGTTCAATTTTACTAAACTATTTCCACTGGGTGTAAGGCGGAGTGAACATTGCAACCTTCAGAATTCTAAAGACGGGATCTGAAGATTCTTAGATGTACTAAATGTTTATTAACCTCATATTGGATTTTGTTTGTTAATTTTGTCAATTGAATGAAACCTTACAGAGCAAATCATTTTCCATTCAACAATACATGCACATTTTATTTCCTGTCATTGATTGAAATTCCCACAGTGTAACATCACTTATCTCACTTTTTCCGTGTTTCTTGTTTTCTTTCTTCCTCCTTTTCCTAACCCTTCCTACCTTCTGAAGTTGTCCTCAGACAAAAGCTGCCCTTTTTAATTATAAATGTTTAATTTTTTTTCTAAGGAGTTAATGTTCACCTTATCTGTCTGGTTTGGGCCCAAAAGTCATCCAGTGGTGTGAGTTCATTAATGAGCCTGAAAGGCTATGATATACAGGGTTGCATCAGTCTCGTTCTGCATTTTCTCCTGCTTTATCCCG